CTGGGCCCTCAGCCAGGCCCTGGAGCTCGTCAGTGGTGGGGGAGGGTGTGTCGGTGGCCCTGCAGGACGTCACCGCCTTCCCAGTGCCCCAGCTGGGGGAGCCGAGACTGCAGCCCGGGAGAGCAGGCCTGAGAAGTGCTCCCAGGAGGACTCTGTCCACACACCGCAGGGTCCCTCCTGTGGCTCCCCGGGCGCTCAATTCGTGGCCCTGGGGCTCCAGCCCCATCCCACATGCCCTTCCCTGGGAGCCTGGTGTCCTGGGCAGGGCCCACCACGTAAGCAGGGAGCAGCCATGGATGCCAAGGGGACCTCGTCTGCCTGCACTGGCCCTCGCGCCCGGCGGTGGCTGCACAGAGGGCTGGGGAGGCCTGTGGGGCTGCCGGCTGCTCAGCTGGCCCCTGTTCCCCTGCTGAGTGGGGACAGCGGGGGCGGGGGGCGGTGAGGGCAGCTGGGGCTGGTGTCTCTGGGTGTGCTCATTGGCGGGCGTGGCCCTTCCCCCAGTCACCAGTCCCCTGGACATTGGCCCTCTGGACGGGCACGGGGTGGGAGCATGTCACCTCGTCACGCACCCTTCTTCCTGGAATTGCTGGAATGTAGCCCCCAAGAGAGCCTGCTGGGGACAGCGCTGGGGCCAGGGTGCAGAGGGGCGAGTTTGGCTGCACGGTCGGCCTGGCCCTGAAGCCAGGACTCTGGGCCCCACTGGACACTGGTGGGTGGGCTTTTGCCGCCCTGAGCCTCACGGTGTCCGTCTATAAAATGGGACCGTGATGCTCATGGATGGGTTGGGCAAGGATTTGGGTGATGAGAGGTCTAAAGACAGCCCCTCCCCAGGCGGCCAAGGGGAGCCCCAGGCCCGGGTCATCACTTTCTCCGTTCCTCTGAGTGTCGGGTGGGGAGAGAGCACGGCTCAGCCCGACCACACTCCTGCACCCTCGTGACACACGCGTGCACGGGTGCGGCCAGACGTGTCACCCCCCTTTGCTGTGGGGGGGGCTGGAGGGGAAGTGGGGCTGTCACTTCCTCCTCTGTCAGCAGGGAGACTGGTGTTTGTGGCATCCCGGGGGGAAAGTGCTGGAGGGGCTGCCACAGGCGGGAGGGCTGAGGGGAGCAGATGTCGGGGTGGGCAGACCGTGCCGGGCAGCCCTCGGGAGTGGGCAGGAGCGCAGGCCCTGGGCGAAGCTCCTTGCTGAGAAGACGTTGGCCGCTCACCCTGTCTTACCCCAAGTTGGGAGGTGGAGGCTCCGCTGTCCCTTGTCCTTGCTGGCCTGGCACAGGCGGCACCTCGTCCTGCTGACGGCCACGGTGCAGCGGAGGCGTGGCCTCCCGTCCACCCCTGCGGAAGTGCGTGGCCATGGCTCTGCCGTGGTCGAGGCCTGGGTTCCACGTGGCTGCCCGGCCTCGGGGACGTCCAGCCCTGAGCGCGTCACTGCAGGAGGGCACCGAGCCCGAGCTCGCCAGCACCGTGCGCAGGGACGCTGGTCACCCGACTCTCCGTGGGGGGCGGTCTCCCCAGCGTGTCTGGAGTCCCCCGCAGGCCGGCACCCCAGCACCTCACCGTGCGCTGAAGGTGTTCCCTGATAAATGCTGGATGAACAAGTGAGCAAGTGAAAGAATGTGCCGGAGCTACATTTGTTTCTTGGCCAACAAAAGCTACCCAGGGAATAAACACGCAACCACAGTGCACAGCAGCGAGATTCCGAGGATGCTGAGTTTCCGTTTGCACTCCACAGGTCTGAGTTTGAGGATGGTGTGGTCATCGCTGCGGGGTGGGATTCTGTCCTGGCTGGGGCCGTGGTCACAGGCTCCAGGACATCCCCACGCAGCCCGCCCCTGACCCTGTGCCCAGGGTTGGGGCTACTGTCCTGTGCAGTTTCTCCCCGTGGCCTCTGCGACTTCTCCGCGTGCCCTTGGTGCTGCCGAGCAGGGATGCCCCCCTCCCCTTAAAGTCAGCAGGACCTCCCCCCCAACAAGCGCCCGCTCCGGGGTGTCTGGGTGGGGAGCTCGGCCGCCTCCTGGCAGAGTCTGGAAAAGTCACGTTAGTGTGGCGTTCTGGAGGGCCGAGTCGGTGATCTTCCCCAGAGGGGCTGGGCCTGCTGTGGGGGCTGCCACGGCCCCTCCCAGGGATGCCAGGACCCCGGGAAGCCCCGTCAGCCACAGGCACAGGGGAGGCTGGACAGGCCCCCAGACCAGGACTCCGCAGTGGCTGTCCTGCAGGGCAGGACACCTGGGCCTCTGAAGGTTGGTCTGGGCCCGTCTTGGTTTCTCTTGGGGTCAGCGTGCTCAGAGTGGTTTGCGTGAGCTCTAGGGTGATGGGATGGATTTAGGGGCTCAGGGAGGCAGAGAGGGGTCCCCCACCAGAGGGGCTGGTCCTCTCATGGTCCACCGGGCTCCCTTCTTTGGTTCCCAGGAGATGGAGTGACCCAGAAGAGGGTTGGGTGACATTCTCCAGCACCCAAGGCAGGGTGCTACAGAAGGCCTGCTCTTCCAGCCTGGGTGTCGGGCGTCTGGACGAGAGCCGGAAGGAGGAACCGGCCCTTCTGACGGGGAAGGAGAGCCGTCCCCCATGTCAGTGCAGTGGCATGTACGCCTCTGCCCCCACTTCAGGCCGGGACAGCGGCACCTGTGTCCTGCCCACGGCGGTGTCCAGGTGGCCTGGCTGGCGTCCAGCACCCCCGCCCTCCCCCTCCCCCTGCGCTTCTGCACGTGAGCCCAGCTGCTGTGCTGAGGAAGTGGAACCTCACAGCTGTCCCTGTGTCACGCAGAGGGTGTGGCCCCGGCTGGCTCCTGGCCTGTTGTCTCCTGTCGTCTGGTTGTTAACGGAGCTCAGAGGGCTGGTCTTGGGTTGATCCTCCTCGGCCGCCAGGGGCCGTGGTCCTGGAGCCAAGCATGACTCTTGGGTGAGGAAGTGCAGGGCCTGGGCAGTGTCCTCTGACCTTGTCTGTCACGCACAGCCATAGACATGTCTGATGCTGCAGCTCAGGGCACAAACACACACAAATGTACATGCACACATGCATGCACACAGGAGCACACACAGACACATGTACACACACATGCATGCACACAGGAGCACACACAGACACATGTACACACAGGAGCACACACAGACACGCACACATGCATGCACACAGGAGCACACACAGACACGCACACATATGCATGCACACAGGAGCACACAGACACGCACACATATGCATGCACACAGGAGCACACACAGACACATGCACACACATGCATGCACACAGGAGCACACACAGACACATGCACACACAGATGCATGCACACAGGAGCACACACAGATACACACAGATGCATGCACACAGGAGCACACACAGACACACACACATGCACACAGGAGCACACACAGACACACACACACATGCACACAGGAGCACACAGACGCGCACACACACACACCAGACCACCAAAGTCGGGGCGTGCCCCCCTCACCAGTGCCCACCCTGCTTCTGCTGTTTCGTTGCGGCACGTGCAGCCCTGCGGCGTCCCCTTCCCCGAGCTGCCACCTCTCCTGTCTGGACGGTGTGCGTGAGCTCACCCGGGTCCGAGCGCTCTCCCCTCTGCTGAAAGCAGTGGGCTTGGTCTCCCATGCGGAATTCTCTTGGACGACAGACCCCATGTATCCTGCCACCTGAGTGGCCCCCCCGGGCCCATATCCCAGGCACTCCTGGGATTTAACTCGTCCAGACGCCTGGCTCCACGGCCCGGCATTAAGCTTGCACTGCCACTGTGTCCCTGGCTGGCATCCCACAGCCTCCCGGTAGGACTCCCGGGTGTGCCAGGGCCCTTATCGAAGTCTCGTCTCCCCCGAGCAGCCAGAGGATCTTTGAACGCAGCTGGACTCGGGCTCTGCTCAGGCCCTCCTGGTGCCCTCTCGCCCTGGGGCTGCCCTGTTGCTGCGCCCGCCCCCAGCTCATGGCTCTGCTGTCCCTGCAGTGCCTGCCTGGCTCCCTCCCATCTGGGGGAGCCCTGCCCCCCATCATGGACATCAGCTCTGAGTGTGGGGCTGTGGGCAGGTGGTGGCTTAGAACTCGGGGCCTCGTCCCCTAAGAATGAGGTCTCTGCCCCAGGGCAGGTGGAGGGAGTGTGTGTTCAAACGGGTTTTCTGGAGCTGGTCCCACGGGGCGGGGGCGGGGGGCCTTCCTTGTCCACAGATGGTCCCGGGGGCTGAGGATGGGAGCTGGGGCCCCGGCGCGCAGGTGGGGGCTGGGTGGGTGGGACCCTTCGGCCCCTCGGCCTCCCTCGGGGAGGACCGGGCTCACACCGGCGCGTGGCAGGAGATGCCGGCAGGGCCGAGACAGGTTCTTTCAGCCCCTCTGCTGGCGGAGTTCTCGTTTGGCTGTTTGTGTGCGCCTGTTTCTGCGCCTCGTAATTAAAACATTTATTTGGCCTTCACAGTGAAAATCTAATTTCTTGAGTCTAAGAACTGCTGATATTGGCACCGAGACTCCAGTCCGTCGGGCAAACAGAGCCGGAGCCCGTTGGATTATTCATAGCCTGGTGTTTGCAAATCAGGCTGCCTCTCGCTAATCAGAGCTGATGTCGGGTAATTGATGTGTAGAGCGAGGGTTTTGGTGGGAGGGGGCACCGGGCGCCGCTGAGCGATTGTGCGTGGCCGGTGGGGGGGCCTTCGGGGCTGACTCAGCCTGCCACGGGCAGCCGCGCCACCGCGGCACGGGTGAGCGGCACTCGTGTGCCCCGCACTGCTCTCCGCTCTCCGGACGTCCCCTGTTGAACCCGCGCACTCCCCTACGCGGCGGGTTTGTTCTTCTCGTCCACATCGTACAGACGTGAAAGCTGACGCCGGAAGGTGATTTGCCCGGGGGCGTTCTGCCGGGCACAGAGGTGGGGTTTGAACCGGGGAAGCCGGCCTCGGTGTTTGTGGTCGCGGCCCCCGGAGGTGACACCTGCTCTAGGTCCCCTCGGAGTCCTCAGGGTGGCCGTGCCAGTGACGCCTTCCCTTTCTCTCCTCTGCCTTGCAGACCATCATGGAGCAGTTCAACCCCAGCCTGCGCAACTTCATCGCCATGGGGAAGAACTACGAGAAGGCGCTGGCAGGTAGGCGGGGCCCGCGGCCGGGGCGGGAGCCAAGGGTGTTCTCGGCGCGAGCAGGATTCCCAGCTTGGCAGACGGACCTTGGCACGGCCCGCAGGTTCTGACCAGGAGCGGAAGCAGGTCTTTTGTTCCAGAAACAAAACCCGGCAGGTGCCGAGTGCTGGCGTCCCCACCACAGCTGCAGTGGCCGGGCGGCCGTCTCAGCTGCGGCTGTGGGATGAGCTCAGTGCCCAGAGACAAGGCGTGGGGAGTGTGGGCGTCCCTCCTTCAGAAGTTTCTGGAAACTGTGGGGTCTGGGCTTAAATGACACCATTGGTGCCCGAAGTGTCTCTGGGTTTGGGGGCCTGCAGCAGCCTGCTAAGGAGTGAGCTCCCCATAGCTCATGAAGGGCCAGGACGGAGGGCACTGGGGTCTGATGGCGGCAGGGCCAGAACGTTCTGCTCATGTTTGAGACCCCTGCCCCCCTGCCCTTGCCCCACCCCCAGCTCAGGGAGGGACATTGGCGCCAGATGCTCCACCCTCGGCCGTGGGTGCGTCTGGGTCTCTCCGCCCTGGCAGCACTGGCTGGCTCCTCACGGCTGGTCACACCATGGTTGGGGACCCACTGCTCCTGGGCCCTGAACCCTGGTCTCCCACAGCCTGGACCGTGTTGTGGGGCCAGGGTGTCGGCTGTCCCTCTAACCATGGCATCTTTATAAGCAAAGCCCACCCCTCCCTCCCCGTCCCCCTTGCAGGGGAAACTGCATGCCCACAGCGTGGCCCATCTCTGCCGCTGCCCTGGGTCCTCTGTGGCTCCCTGGTGTCCTGCCACCCATGTGTGGGTGGAGTTTGTTGTCCGGTTTGGACCAGGCTCTGTTGGGCAGGGCGCCAGCTTAGAGGTGGCAGGGAGGGACAGAGTTGTTCAGCTCTTGTTCTCCCACCAGCGTGGCCCATTGTCACTGGGGAACACAGCGTCCCAAGTGAGCCCCAGCGGGAGGGCCTGTCCCTGGCCAGCGCTCCAGGTGGGGCCGTCTGGCCACGGTCGTGCCTGCCTCGTCCAGTGGGGAACAGAGGGTCTTCCTGCCACAGAGAGGGCCCACGCTGGGCACGGTCCTGCCAGGCGGCCTCCCATGCCCTGGTCCTTCCTTCTCGGGGGCCGAGGTGGCCGGGCTGGCCCTGTGCAAGGGGTGGCACAGTCCCCTGCATAGACCATGCCGATCACGGGGCAGTGGCAAAGAGGAGGGTGGGAGGACGGTGTCCCTCTGTCCCCGGCCTGGCCAATAGCCCCGTGGGGTGAGCTCGTGTTTCTGTGGGTACGAAGGGGACAGGGAGCCCCCAGGTGCTCCTGTGAGCACAGCAGGGGTTGTGCAGCGGCGTCCCAAGGACCGCAGCCGTCCCTCCACCTGCCCGCCAGGCCGCTCAGCGGTGGCCCTGGGGTCCCAGCACAGAGAGCTCAGCTGCTCACCGGGACACTTCTGTCCCATCCGAGTTTCCTTGAGAAGTTGTCCCTTCCTGGGGAAGCCAGCCAGGCCCTCAGGCCGTGACGATGACCTGTCCCCGGCCAGGAGAGGAGCATCTCGGGCGTGGGGTCGGCAGCGGAGCCTGCGGCAGGCAGCCCCACGTGTGTCTGCTGGGGGAAGCCGTGTCTGGGTCACCACCCGGCTGTGGCACTCCGCTTACCAGGTGGCACCTCATGTGTCCTGCAGAGAGCCAACTGCCCCCGTCTGGGATGATGGCAACTGGGAAGAGTCTCCTGAACCGAGGCTTCGGGAAGGTGGGGACACTGCTGGAGGGGCCACAGAGGGTCTCCGACCCTGCTGTCCCGGTGTCTGGGCGGAGCACACGGTGTTCGGATTCTCCAAGCAGGACTCGTTCCTGTGCCGTTGAACGCCAGCAGGTTCTCACCTCTCCCCACCGGGGCTGAGTTTTCTCGTGCACAGCAATGTGGGACTCGAGGGGGCCGGGTGGTCCCGCCTGGCGGAGACGGGCATGGTCCTGCACGTGTCAGACCACCGTGGTTTCCCTTTCCCACGCCGGCCGCTGTGGGACGCTTGCTGGTCCGAACTGTGGCCGCGTCTCTGACCCCAGGCAGAGTGATGGAAGTCTGCCTGGAGCGTCCTGCGTCTGGGTCTTGCCACCCCTGTGGTGGCTCAAGGGCTGGGCCTGGGCCCTGGGCAGACTTCCCTGGCTCCAGCTCCCCGGCGCTGGGGCTGGTTTCCCTGTGGCCTTCCCACAAAGCCTGAGGCTACGCGTGGAGCACCAGGAGGTTGCCTTCCTCCTGCTCTGCTCACGGGAGGCTCGGCCGCCAGGTCTCTGCTGTCTTGTTTCGCTCGCTCTCAGGTGTTTCAGGAAGCCCCCCCTCCTGGGCGGCGGGAGCACATCCATCCTCTGGGGACACGGCCTTGTGCTGCAGAACAGATTGTGTGCCCTTCGTGGAAAACCGCACAGATAGAATTCGATGGAGTGCCCAGTTATAGGCTTGTAACTGGGTTCTGTAGAAAATGGGTTAGAAATTGCAATTATGCGCTGGTGCTGCACCTGGCCCTGCTCCCCAGGGTGCCACCTCCTCCTCCCGGCAGTCCGAGGGTGGGGTAGGTGGGGGGGTTGCCAGGCCCACCCCTGCCAGGCCTTGCTCCTGCCCAGGCAGAGGCTGCCAGGCGGGGATGGGGCTCAGCAGGCTCTGAGCTCTCCACTCTGACTTCCCAGTTAGGGCAGGGCTTGCTGTCTGGGTGACAGCAGCCCCCCGGAGCAGCAGTGCAGCCCCAGGTGCGCAAAGAGACAGCCAGGACAGTCCTCTCACGCAGGCTCCGCTCGGGCATCTGGCAGGAGTGGCTTCCTGCGTGCGGCTTGCAGCGCCCTTGCCGAGGCTGGCCCTTTGTCTCCTGCAGCACACTCACCGCACGCCCCCGGCAGCGCAGGCGGAGCTCTCTGCGGGGCGGGGAGCGGCCCAGCGGCACGCGGTGTTCCCGCAGCTGAAAGGAGCCGTCGGGGTGGGAGCGACAGCAGAGTGTGGACAGGAGGCAGGCTCACCCACCCCAGTCCCGCCCAGGCGTGGAGCTGGGTCGTCTCCGCGCTCGTCCTGGCGCAGAGGCGGGCTGGCGCGCTGCGGTCCCCGGCGAGGGTGTAACCGCCGCCTTCTCTTCTCCGGCAGGTGTGACGTACGCGGCCAAAGGCTACTTCGACGCCCTGGTGAAGATGGGGGAGCTGGCCAGCGAGAGCCAGGGCTCCAAAGAACTCGGTGAGACCCCAGGGTCCCTGAAGCTGATGTCCTCGGGCGGGTTTGGGGTCCTGTCCTGTGCCTGACGGTCCTTCTCTGATCTGGGGTCAGGTTTTAACCTGTCAAAGAAAGGGTTTTTTAAGTCGACAGTAACTCTCAGAGCTGGCGAGGGGCACGCCCTGCTGAAATGGGGTGCACCGGGTGCCTTGGGGTGCTGCTCGGGGCTGGCGCACCTGTGAGTCCTGTCCCCTGGGGGGTCAGGGCACAGCCTGGGGTGTGGGGTGCAGGCGAGTCCACACTTACAGGTGTTTGGGTGACACTTGAGCAGCTAACACAGGGATGCATGTAGAAGTTGTGCTCAGAGGGTGGCTTGTGATACAGGGAATAATTCCTGGTATAAAAATGAGGGGAAAAGTCTTTAATAAATGCAGCCTACAACAAACAGACCACACAGGCGCTAACAGCTAGAATTCCTGGGGTGGATTGTTCTGTTCTGCTTTTTCTTTTTTTTTTTTTTTTGAGACGGGGTCTTGCTTTGTCACCCAGGCTGGGGTGAAGTGACATCACAGTTCACTGCAGCCTCCAACTCCTGGGCTCAAGTGATCCTCCTGCCTCAGCCTCCTGAGTAGCTGTGACGTCAGGCACGTGCCACCATGCCTAATTTTTTTCAGTTTTTTGTAAAGCCGTTGCCAGGGCTGCTCTCAGACTCCTGGCCTCAAGCAACCCTCTGCCTCTGTCTCCCAAGTGCTGGGATTACAGGCGTGAGCCACCACACCTGGGCAGACCATTGTTTCCTCTATGCTTTCTCTATATTTTGCGAATATTCTGTGATGAGCTCAGGTTACTCCTGTGGTCAAGGGACACTGTGTAACATGGTGAGTCACAGCCCTGAGTGGCAGCATTGCAAGTCCGGTTTAGGCTCAGTCCCATCCCGGTGGCCCTCCTGACCGAGGAGGCTGGTGGCTGACGGTGGCCATTAGGCCAGCCTTGACAGATGGAAGACCTGAACCGGGCGGGAAAACCACTCGGATTCTTCCACCTTTGGTCACAGAGGACAGGTCTGCCTTGTCCACAGAAGTGTCCTGGTGGCCGCTGTCATGGGACGTGGTCTGTGCACCTGGGAGGGAGAGTGCGGAGGGCAATGGAGCCCACCACCGCCTCCTGCTGTCACCCGAGGGCTAACTCGCCCCAGCCCAGTGGGAGCCCAGCGGGAGCCCAGCGGTCACAGCGGCACGTCGGGGACTGGGTTTCTCTCCATGCCCGTCAACTCCAACTCCCCAAGCGGCCTCCATCTCCCCGAGTGGCCTCCGTCTCCCCCGAGCCGCAGCTTTCGGGCAAGACCCCACGAGCACGGCTCTCCTTGTGTCCGCACATCTCACGGCGTCCTGCGCCGGGGTGGGGCTGATGGGCTGCAGGCTGTGCGGCGCTGTCTGGTTCGTGGACACTGAGGACGAGCCAGGTGTCCCGGGCCCAGGACCCCCTCGGGCAGGCCGCTGGGCGTGCGTCCCGGGGCTCGAGATTCCAGGAGGCGCAGCTGTGTTGACAGACGCAGCCTCGGGACCTGCCTGGGCTGGCAGGAGGGCAGGGGGTACCAGGCCCCACGGGTGGAGTCGCTGGGCATCCAGCTGCAGTCGGGCCCTCAGCTTCCGCCTGGCTGGTGGGGTGTAGACGTTCAGGCGGAGCAGGCCAGGGCTCCATGGCAACACAGTGGCATGTGGGGACCAGAGCCCCTGGGCCCCCATGTGGGTCTGCAGGGTTTGGACAGGAAGCCTGGCCCTCTTGGCTCCTCAGAGGGAAGCCAGGGGGTGTCGTGCGAGAGCCCCCGTGCGGGTCTTTGAAATCCCCCCAGGGCTGGTCTGGAGAGCCCCTCCCGTGTGTCTGCAGGGGTGTTCAGCCATTGTCTCTTGGTGATGGCTTTGTTGACATAATTCACACGCTGCACAGAAACCCATTCTGGGTGTAGAATTCAATGGTTTTTAGTGCATTCAGAGCTTGCAACCATTACCGCTCTCTAACTCCAAAACTTTCCCATCACCCTGAGAAGAAACCCTGCACACGTTAGTCAGTGACTGCCTACTCCCCATGTCCCCGGCCCCTGGCAGCCACTGATCCACGTCTGTCTCCATGGATTTGCCTGTATTGGGCACTTCCTGTCGACAGCTCACACGGCACGCGGCCTCGTGCGTCCGGCTGCGTGTGCCGAGCGTGTTTTGAGGCGCGTTCCTGCTGTAGCGGGTGTCGGCGTTTCGGCCCTAGTCGGGGCTGAGTGACGTTCCCTGGTGTGGACAGACCACACTGCCCTCCGTCCGTCTGTCGGTCCGTCCTCGCACACGCGGCCGCTCTCCCTCTGGGCTGCTGTGGGCGATGCTCCCGTGAGCACTTGCATACGAGCACCCGTGTGTGGACGTGTCTTCATGTGTCTTAGGCGTGTACCCGGGAGTGGACTTGCTGGGATAGAGGGTTGGGAATGGAGTTTTTGTCAGGGCAGCACACCCTCGGTTTAGAAGGAAGTCGCTGGTTCTTTTCCCGCTTCCCCAGGCAGCTCTGAGCTGGTGTCCTGGTGTCTGCGGGCACGATCTGGAAAGGCCGTTTTATGCTGTTTCTTTCCCCCATCTTTTTTATATTTTTTTATTTTTCTTATTTTTTTTAAACAGAGTCTCGCTTGTTGCCCAGGCTATAGTGAGTGCCGTGGCGTCAGCCTAGCTCACAGCAACCTCAAACTCCTGGGCTCAAGTAATCCTTCTGCCTCAGCCTCCCGAGTAGCTGGGACTACAGGCATGCGCCACCATGCCTGGCTAATTTTTATATATATATCAGTTGGCCAATTAATTTCTTTCTATTTATAGTAGAGACGGGGTCTCGCTCTTGCTCAGGCTGGAGGTCAGAGTTTCGAACTCCTGACCTCGAGCAATCCGCCCGCCTCGGCCTCCCAGAGTGCTAGGATTACAGGCGTGAGCCACCGCGCCCGGCCGTCTTTCCCCCATTTTTAAAAATTTTAGACATTGTGTGATGGATTCTTACAGAAGGTTTGGATTTAGCTTTCTTACGCTGTCCGCTTCCTTACCTACTATAATTATCACAGTTTTTGCTTAAATCAGTGTATGGTGTTTGTATGATGATGCTATAAATCCCTTTCAGGCTAAGGCATATAGAATATTATGATTACTTTTTTTTTTTTACAGCTTTATTGAGGGGTAATTGAAGTACATAAACTGCACATACTTAAGCATACTTAACACGGGTGGGTGCGGCGGCTGCAGGCCTGTAATCGCTTTGGGAGGCGGAGGCGGGAGGATCGCTTGAGCCTGGGAGTTGGAGGCTGCAGTGAGCTGTGATCACGCTGCTGCTCTCCAGCCCGGGCGACAGAGCAAGACCCCCGTCTCCGAAAAAAAAAAAAAAAAAGTGTCACTTGATGGGTTTGACAGGCGTGTACAGGAGACAGTGACCTCGCCTGTCCCTGGGCCCCTCCCTCGCGCCCCTTCCCCGTCTCCAGGCAACCACGCATGGGCTTCCCGTCCCTGGAATTGAGCGAGCACTTGCTGGAGTTTTATATGAGTGCAGTCACATGGGACGCGTTCTGTTTTCCTCCGGCTGTCGATCTGCATAATCATTTCAAGATTCCTCCGTGGTGTTGTGTGTATCGATAGTTAGGTTTCCTGGCTGGGGAGTGTCCCATTGTGTGGACGTGCCACAGCTGGCTTGTGTGGTCATCTGGTGGGGGACGTTTGGGTTGCCTTCAGTTTGGGGCCTTTCCAAATTTGCACTTCTCTGATGAGCGCCTGGCGTGGAGCGCCCTTTCTCGCGATCGTTTGCCGCGCGTTTACCTTCTTTAGTGAGTGTCTGTTCGAGTCAGTCCCGCCTTCGTTTTATTTGCGTTTGTGTCTTTTTGAGTTACACGGTTGTCTGTGTCCCGGGACAGGGGTCCTTCATCGGGTGTGCATGTTGCAAGTACTTTTTCCTAATCTGGTCGGCTTTTCATTTTTGTGATAGTGTTTCTAGAACAAAAGTATTCGATGTTAATGAAGTCCTGTCAGCTGGGATTTGTGTGTGTGTGTGTGTGTGTGTTTATGGTGCATGGATTTTTGTTGCTATGACTCTGGTTATGATTTTTATTACAAGGACTTCATTTTTTCCAGAATTAATAATCGCCTCACTTCTTCATTTGCGTCGTTTTTGACGGACTGTTGTTAGTTTTTCCAAACCCCCAGACAGAGGTCACAGACTTTTTTTGCTGTCATCTCAGTCTGTGTCACTTCTCTGGAGCGCTGGGGTCCTGCCCCGCCCACTGGGACCCCGTTGTGCAAGGATGACGGGTTGGAGCCCCGTGTTTTCTGGGTCCTGCTCGGTGTGACTGCCTCGGGGGAATCGTCTTTTTTCCCCTGGGCGGTAACCGGCAAGTGTTTGTGAGCCACGTGTGTCTGCAGGTGTTTTCCTGCCTGGCACTGGTGGCTTAGTAGGCTTGGAATTCCAGGTGGGAAAGAGCCTCTGCACCCCAGCCTCCTCCAGCTCCCAGTGGGCTGTTCAATGTCGTTGTGATGCTGATGTTTTTAAATGTGAGTGGTTTTTGTTTTTGTGGGTTTTTTGAACCACAATAATGACTATTAAGACGTATAATGTGAGTGTTTTTGTTTTTTCCTCCCTGGAAGCTTTTGAGATCTTTGTCCTGGGTGTTTTGAAATACCTGACAATGTGGGGGCCGGGTGTGGGGACAGTGCAGACAAAGCCTCACCTGACAGTCCTGTGCTGCCTTGGGCTGGAGTTGGGGACCCCCCCAGCCAGGAGAACTGGGCTGGGGTAGGGGGGTGGAGGAAAGGGGCAAAGGGTGAGTGCAGAGGTGCAGCATGTCTGCAGAAACTGGGAGGTCTGGAGTGGAGGAGGGGGTGGCAGGGCCTGGGGCAGCCAGAGCCTGCTGGGAACTCCAGGCCTTGTGCCACTTCGTGTCGGCCACGGGAAGATGGGCGTGTGCACCTACCTGTTCTTCCACTCTCAGGATCTGTGCATGTTGCCAGCAGTGGATACCT